GGGGCAGACAACAAGGAATCTGGGGGGCATGCCAGGGCGGGGTTGCAGGTGCTCGCTCCACGGAAGGTCGAGGCCGGGAAGGCAGAACTGACTCCCAGGCACCTGGTGTGCCTGTGGTGGCAAGTCTGAAGGTGACAGGCCGCCTGGTTCCTGATTCCTGGGCTCAGCGACTTCTAAGTACCTTCCCTGTGGGTGGGTGGGAGTACTCTGAGCACGGGGCACCACCATGTGCCCACCAGCTCTGGGTAGGCAGGAGCGCAGCCGGGTAACTGTGAGGCAAGCAATCTGACACATGCATATGTGAATAGTGGGCGGGCAGGCAGGCACACAGGGAGGGAGGAGTGTGGTACACTCGTGCTCCCGTGAGACACTTGCATCCAACATGCACCAAAGTTCCAGCAATGCGGGGGTGGTGGGGTGGGGGGCGCACTTTATATTTGCTTTACTTGAAAATAAACACATAAAGAAGCGCTTCATACACACTACTGCAAAAGAACAGAGATATGCCGTTGAGAAAAAGCCAGTTGAAAGTGAGGCAGCCCTGCCTGGAAGGCTATAGAAAACAGGAAGGGAAACATCAGCCATACTGGGCCCCTCTTGGCACCGCTGAAATGACCCCATCCGCTCATTTGCTTCATAAGCTAAACACACACACATGGGGCTTAGGGACTTCTGGAAAGAGAGCAGGCAGGGCCCTTGGTCTGTCTGTACTCCATGTATGACTTTGAAAACCACCTGTGTCCCCCATCATGACGGACATCTAATTAGCACCGAGAACTCTGGGGTTAGCAGACCTGAGGGCACTAGTGTACCAAAAGGTCACTCACATGATTTCTAAAATGACAGGCAGAGTAAAAGCATTAGTCTGTAAGGTTTGGTATGGGAGGCACCCAGGTTAATGTTTCCAGGACAACCCCTGACCTTAACTGGACCCTGTCTTGGCTGCTTCAGGGGTGCAGACCTTAGCTGTGCTGGCCTTCACACTTGGCACCGGAGACTGAGGTAACAGGAGAAGAAACACAGAGAGGGATCAAGACTCACAAAGTGTCGTTGCTGTGTGGTGGGGGTCACACTTCTTGAACCCAGGCAGTGACAGGCTGCACTTCTAACTCCTGAACCTCCGTTCTCTGGGGCCTCCCTCCCTCCCTCGCACACTCAGTCCCCCACTGAAAATGTACACCAACAGTTGGGAAGGCACAGGGCCTTTGCTTTCAGACATCTGGATACAGAAGGCTTGTTTACAGAGCATTCGCCCCAAACTGGGCTCCTCCATCCACACTGGTGACTCTGGGAAGGGAGAGAAACCCGAGGCTCTGATAAGGAACAGCAACAAAATGCCAGAGCTTTTGAGAATTCCGGTCACTAGAAGCAATTCTCAAAATAGTTTCATCTGCCAGGACCAGGTACTCAATCACATACACGAATTAAGGACTGAATAGAAGGAGACTATCCACTTAATTCTCATTGTTGAAGGTATCTCTCAAGTGATTTGGGCCCAAAGGACCACTGGTGAAATACAAAGGGTTGAGCCTGCAGGATGGGCATGGTTGTAGGGTGGGAGAGGGTACCCGGAGATGGCAGGACCCGCTGCAAAGACAGGGCTGTGTGCTAAAGGACTACGAGGGTGACTTTCAAAATAATGGAGAGGCTGTCTACTTATTTTTCATAGTAATGAAGATTGTCCTCAGGATCATAAGTCATACAATCTAGTATGCAGGGCTTTGGAGCCTGTCCTTCTAAGGGGGCTGATCTGGGTTTTGTCTTCCACAGAATCTAAACTCAGAGAAAACCCATCAATACACAAGGAATGGAAAAGTGCAGAAAAGACAGGAAGCGATTCTGAATAAACGAAGGATGGTTAACCAACCACAAGCAATTTCTCTGGACAAAACATCCTTAGGGCATTAGCACCAAATGGTGTTGCTTCCTTCATCCAAACTGATTAAAGGGGGTGGGGGGTGGGCGGTGTACAGGGCAGAGGGAGAAAGCTGCTTAAAAAATTTGAGCCACAGGTAGTTACACACAAACTGCCTCTTTTTGGGGGGTGTGTGTGGAGATTTAAGTCATTAGAGCTGATGTGAAAATAATTCATTTCTCATGATCCAAGAAAGAAGCTGGGAACTGGCAAGAAAGAATTCCTAAGGAAGGACTGAAAGCTCACCAAGTCATACTGCTGGACTAGCACAGGTGTTTCTGCCTAAGTTCAAATAGGGGCCTGACCTTGCTGGACTCCTCAAGCTGAGTGCCTCGCTTCCAGGCTTCGGAGAAGATGGAGCTCACGATGCTCTGGGATCGGACGTGCCCTGCAGGCTGCATGTCCGAAACGCCACTGTCCGACTGATTAGAGTGATTTGATTGAGACTCTGTTGAGGACAGTTTTGAAAGGACAGGATTGACTGGGTCAGCATTCTGAGCGTGAATATGAGTACTCAAAGCCGAATACTATGGAGAATAGCAACACATAAATTTCATTCAACCCACTTCATATAAACCCATATGTGACTTTAAAAAAATAGTTCACCAGGAGACTACTAATTATAATAAGGGATTTATATAACATTGGTATCCCAACAGCCTCTCTTGCGCGCTGCACCGCCCCCCCCCCCACAGAATCACTAAGCTATCAATAGAGTGAATTCTACCACCAACCACCCCCGCCCCCACCTGGTCATTTCTTCATTACATTAGGAGTCAGATTTAATGTCCCTGTTCTAGGCCATCTCAGAGTATAATTTATAACTTCAGATCTATATACGATAACTTTCCATTTCTCCAGCAACAAACAATGCTTAGAACAGAACTTGACTCCCAAGTGAGGGGTGAGCTTGCTTTCTAGGGCCGCAGGCTTTGGCACCACAGGGCTACAGCCTCCTGCTCCAGGGAGCTCTTCCTGGGACCTCAGGTCCAGTGGGAATGGCTGTAAGGCTATAGGGTAGTTTCAACTGCCAAGCTCAGTGAGAGAACTGGGAAGATTATTTCACTGGCATCCACAGGATAACCAGGTAGAAACATCTACCTCGATGCCTGTGAGAGGTACTATTAGAGTGCAGTATTCAGACCAGCCAGCAAAGATAACTATACAGAAATGGTAACTCTCAAACTCAAATTCCTTTAAAGTTAAGACAATATCCCTTGAGTACCTCTTGGCTCCTATAAAATCTTTAGCTGAAGTTTGCTAACTTAAGCAGCTTCCTTTACTGCAATGGTGGACGCAGTATTCCAGCTAGTCTCACGATTCACAGAAATTCTGAGGAGAAGGAGGGCAGGTTCTACCCAACTCACATATCAGCACCAACACCAGTTCTCGAGCTATGAGAGTTTAGAAGGACCTGGCTTCAGGAGTCTATGTGCTGGTTTTCCATTTCAAATATACTTTTTGACTAACTCAACACTAAGCCTCCCACCTAAAATTTTAAAATTTAAAAGCACCTGATTGTAATTCAGAAATCCGTTTAAAAATTTTTAAAAACGAAACTGAAATAACCAGGTCTACTACAAAGTCTCTCAGAGGTTTAATACTCACTGCTACTAAGTCGATTCTGATTCGCAGCAACCCTGCAGGACAGGGAGAACCTGCACCCATGGGTTTCCCAGACTGCAACTCTTGAGAAGAGCAGAAAGCCTCGTCTTTCTCCTTCAGAGAAGCTGGTGGTTTCAACGGCTGACTTTGTGGTTAGCACCCAATGCACAACCATTATGCCACCAGAAGCCTTTATCCTGGGAGTAAAATGGTGCTTTTGAGGCATCCCTTACCTGGGATGCTGGAAGAACTGGATCCTGATTTAATGCTGGAGCTGGATAAGGAAGTCCAGTCATAAGTCGACTCTGTTCTCTTCACAGCTTCTTGATAGTTCATGTAGAGTTGCTTTCCATACTAAATAGTAGGCAGTAAATGACAACAGTTGAACTTTACTGAGCACAGTATGGAAAGATAAGGGGGGAGGGGAGAAGATTTCTATTTATGGATTAACAGCCTGTATGAAAACTAATGCCCAGGACACTTAAAAAAATTCTTTTTAATATCAATAAATTATTATCTAGTTCTCTCCCCGGCCTCTCCAAATTCTTAATACAGAGCCTGCTTCTGCTTCTCTGAATGATTCAGAATTGAGCCCCAAATCTGGCTGGTCCATGCTCATTCCAAACCAAACCCCACTGCCATCGAACTGCTTCTGACTCAAAGGGTTCCTGTAGGGCAGCAAATGGCTTCGTTGGGTTTGGGAGGTCAGAACTCTTTACAGAAAACAGTCTTCTCTCTCGTTTGGTGGGTTCAAACAGTTGAACTTTCAGCTAGCAGCCCATCGCTTAACTCACACCACCACCAAGGCACCAGCAAAGCAATTTAATTAGGAAAATTTTTTTTGCTTATACCAAACCTTGTGAAGAGTCATAGAATGCATTTTATAAAGCCAAAACATCACTTTCATGATACTTCAGCTTTTTTGAAAAAATCTGATATTCAAATTTATCAAATCACAAAAGACATATCTTTTGACAAAATGATTTTTTTGGATTTACCTATTTTTCTCACTGTGACCCACTGTGATTTAGCTTTCAATCACTTGTTAATGATTTAACAGCAGATGAGTCAGTGTGGCTTCAAGCCAACAGAAAACCCACCTTTGCGATGCGAATGCCATTGACCCACTGATGCAGGGTCCTCATATCATCACAGCAGAGGTATTTGATATACTGAGATTTCTTCTGGATCTGTGGGTGCTGCAAGATTAAAGGCAACAATCCAAGTAAGTCCTGCAGAACTGAACGAAACCAAAGTCTCTCCAAGCTTAAGCATGTCCACAACAAACGGTACTGACCATCAGAGTGATGATCAAATCATGTGCAGTTCTTCATAGGGGCATAAAACCTAACCAAATGGCCCTTAAATATTTTTACAAAAGAAGTCAGAGTCTTGTGTTAAATTCTAGGTCAAGATACCACATTGAAAATAAATGTTCACACCAGCCTCAGACCCTACCATTAGCTCTGTACTTGTATGCAGCCTGCACCACAGCAACTTGTCATTTCAGTCGCTATTACTCTTATACTTAAGAGGGAAACTGCTTATCATGGCCCTACCTACTGCAGGCTCCACAGTGGAAGCCTATGGCTCTAATAGTGCTGAGCAGGTAAACTCCTCTAAGCCTCAGCTTCCATATCTGCAAAATGAGTACAGAGAAGACTCATTTTGAAAACTGTGTAATAAGCCATTTTGTGTTTTAAAAAATTATTTGCTACTGAAAGTTTGTCTCCAAGAAAGGATTATTTAGTAAATCGTTTCCATTACAACACACCTAATTTTATCACAACAATTAATATTCCACTTAAAAACCCTCTATCCTCTCAAAACTCCCCCTCAGAGACCTGTAAAAGCAGATGATATGGACAAACGACCGACCACCCAAGGAGTTAGCCAAAGCTGGCTCAGATGGAGCCAATGAGATAAATTACAGTCATCTGCCTGACAATCTCCTCACATTTTACGTGTTCTCTTTTTGAATGCTCCAACAAATCCTGGAAAATTCACTAAAGTGTCAGTTATCAAGAGATACAATTAGTATAAGACAAAGGATTAAAATAATTAAACTAATAATTAATAAATTCTCACAAAACCCAGCACTGGGTTTAAAGTATCAGCCTGAGCTAGCAGGGCTGAGGTTCAGGGAAAGGCATGGTTTCTGGATCAGTTGAGTGATGGTACAGTGCCCTCTGATGGTCCTGTTGAGTAAGCGCAGCAAATAACCTAAACCACATACATAGCTCACACAGGCCTCTGGTTAAGTTTCACTCAAGCCCCTCACTAGCCAGTCACAAGGCTATGATCTAATATATTTAATAATAATTCAAAGCTTGAAGTCCAGTATCCATTGGATATAAGTGATATGACTCCCACTGGTGCTAATTAGCTCAGCTGAGGTCAGCTGTGATACTGCTTATGCTTCTTCCCATCGACCACCCTGTAGTCTTCTCTTTTAAGCGGACAGAATGAAGCAGTGTTTGATGGAGATTCAGTCAAACTATTTTAAAATCTCTCCCCACCTTCTCTGGGCCTGGCATCAGTGAAAAGTCCGCTAAGAAGAGGTAGATGCTTACCTTCAGCACCAGGCAGTAGTCTGTGGGTGCCTTGTACTTGCTGCGGTAATCCTGCCCATAGTAAACATTGACATGATCCAGCTGGAGGAAGCACACAAGGTCCCGGGAAACCTAGGATAAAAGCCACGCCCCACCCACCCAAGACTGATTTAATTACAGTTCAAACAAACAAACACACCTCAACAGCTTCTAGTTGAGAATCAAAATGGTACTATGTAGAAATTATTATTTTACAGAAAACAGCATAATGAGATCTCTATACATGCTTCCTTAATCCGCAACGCAACAAAATGAACATCAACTTCTTTGGAAAGGAGGACATTTTAACTCCTATCCCCCCTACCCCACCCTGGCACATTAGCATACAATTTGATAGTTTAATTCGTTCAATCATATCAAGGAGAACTGCATAATCACCACATCAATCCCCACCCCCACCCATGATTAAATCACCTTTAAAATGAGTGGTGCAATCACAATCAGTTCTAGCGCTCCCTTCCCACTACTCCCTTCATTATTTACTCCTGAAATCCCCTTTCCCTCCCTATTGCCCACCCGTGTTCCCTAGATCCCTCTGTATCAGTTATCATCACTATGCATCCACTCCTGTGCTTCACAGCTGGGAGACCCAACAGAAAACATTAAAAAACCAAAATCATACTAAGGTGGTAAGGATAAAATCATTGTAGTATAAAGACAAAAATACAAATAATCTTAAAAAGGAAAAGACTCCCACATCAACATTCAAAAGCCCGGGAAGAAATTTCTGTCATGGAACAAGTAAGAGAACAATGATGAGAAATACAACTTTCCTCTAGTTCCTAAATGTTTCCTCCCCGCTCCCACTACCGTGACTAGAATTCTATCTTGCAAGACTGGCTAGACCAGAGGAGGTACAGTGGTACAGATAGGAACTGAAAATACAGGGAACCCAGGCCGGATGAGCCCTATAGGACCAGTGGTGTGAGTGGCAAAACAGGGAGAGTAAAGGGAGAATGGGTAGGAAAGAGGGAACCGATTACATGGAACTGTGTGTGACCTCCTCCCTGGGGGACAGACAACCGAAAAGTGGATGAAGGGAGATGTCGGACAGGGCAAGATATGACAAAATACCCATTTATAAACTATCAAGGGCTCATGTGGGAGGGGGGAGCGGGGAGGGAGGGGAAAAATGAGGACCTAATGTCGGGGGTTTAAATGGAGAGAAAATGTTTTGAGAAACGATGTACAAATGCGCTTTACACAATTGATGTATGTATGGATTGGGATAACAGTTGTATGAGGCCCTAATAAAATGTTTAAAAAAAAAAAAAAAAAGAGATACTTGCACCTGGTACACATTCAGGTTGTGTCTACAGGGAGGTCAACTGACCAAGTATTGATTAACAACTATTTCTGTGGCCCTCACCTGAGGCTTGTTACCTAACAGCAATGCTTATAATCTCAGAAAACTATTCTACCAACCTAAAAACAAAACAAAAACTTGGCTGATGAGTCGGGGAGCAAAAAAAAGCACGAGCGCACATCTGGAAAGAGAATTGAGTTGGGGCCAATAAAGGAGCAGTTGAAGTCTTCGTGTGAGCAATGAATACATTAGAGCCTGAATTTACTTTGTCAATATATTTGATACAGATTAAAAATAATTATCGCAACAGAGGCTCCAAAGCCAACAGAAGAGACACACCTTTGCTTTTCCTTTAGGAACGTAATAGATTCCAGATGCTCGCAAGAGAAAGTAACGCTTTTTCCAAGACTTCTTGCCATCATCCTTCAACCAAAGGACTCCTTCAATTTCTGGTACAGTTACAGAACTCCCACCAAAACATTCCTAAAATAAGATGATGCAGGCAGATAGGATCCTTGAATTCTCAGAACAACATTGCCTTTACCTCTATGACATTGTAATTAAACGGAAAGAGAAGTATTGTATTGAAACCATGCTGCTAATTGACCTCAGTTAGAATTTTCTATTCTAAATATAATATGAACTTATTTTGGAATTACTATGCTATTACTAATAAACCTTAGAGAAGGTGTAATTAAGTAGAAATGCTCACCATAAATGGAACACAGAAGGTTGTTTTGGAATGATTACTGAGCTATGTCTAACAGTACTGAAATACATTTGTAAAGAGCATAGATCTACTTAGCTCACATAGCATTCTATTTTATTTCTCTCTAGGTTAAACACTGTACTTAGCTTTCAAACTAACCACGTATTTTTAAAAAGAAAGCAACATGCTAAATGTGTGATTAAACTAACAATTTATAAAGCTTAGCAATTTACATGGTGCTAAAACAAAGCGTACTTGTTTTTAAAAGTATTTAATACTGGGGCTGAAAAATAAATCTCAGAATTTTAATGCTGCTATCATCCATGCTTTGGTAAGACTTTAATATAAGAATATCAATCATATAGTTAAAAGAAGGAAAAGAAATCCTCATCAAGCATTAACATGGGGCAATTTAAATCTAAACTAATTTCTCTCCCTGTTCTAAAAGAACAAGGACTTGCAAAGACAGTGTTACTGAACTGTAGCTGATACTATTAGTCTACGGTGAGTGCTGATCTTAATGCCATTGTTAAATTCATTCAGGTTTTCAAATCCACTAATGGAAAAAGTGACTGAAGTCTAAGGCGGGAACTGTTTTGTGAACAGTTGGTGACATTCATGTCTCTCCCGCTAAGCAAACAATCCTACCCTTGGCTGACCAGTCTTTTCTCCCACTCAGGGGCCTCTTGTAGAACCCTGCTGAGGTAAAATAAGGGTTTTGAAAAGGCCCTCTGGGTGGGTGACCACATTCCCTCATGTTACCGGAGACTAAAAGTTCCCCTAGTTACAGCTGTAAGGACCAACACCATATGCTGACTTCAAAAGGGTGCTTCCAATTTTAAATAGGGGCGTGGGGTATAAAGAGGGGGAGGTGGGGAGAAGACTCACCTCCAGCAGCACTTCTTTGTTTCTGTCTGCCATCTCAACTGTTTCCTTTTTCCCCAGAAGGTAATTCTGCAAGAATGAGTAGAAGACATTTGAAGTGAAGTTGGCTTTATTATTCCCATGGCATCGGTGTGTATCTGATTTCTTTCCCCAGGAAGCATGGCAACTCTCAATCCATTTCTGCATGTGTGTGGGGGTGGCAGTGGTTGGGCTAAGCATTTGGGCTGCTAACTGAAAGGTCGGTGGTCTGTGAAGTTTGTTTCTGTAAGGATTCATTGCCTTGGAAACCCTTGGGGACAGTTCTGCTCTGTGCTATTGGGGCACTGAGGGGCTTGGCTTGGATTGGTGACAGGGACAGTGGGGAAAGCTGTGGCTGGCGGAGCTCCCCGAGTGTCAGCATCGTCCCTACGGTGCCTGACAAGGTCTTCTCTCAGCTACTCACAGGTCAAGAATTACTCCATCCACTGCTTTCCCTAAATCCTGACATCACAGGACAGGCAGCAGCTAGCTAACATGTTTTGAGATAACCAATGAATGGTTTACAAGTTATTAAGGGTAACAATTAGGGCATTTCCTTAACATGTGCTGAGCTTAATTGATCCAACTATAGAAACTTTCATTTATGGCCTGGCTTTTTAAAAGAAGCTCTAGTTCCTCTGAAATCATCATAATTTCATTTGCTTACCTCAACTAGAAATCTAAATGCAAATGACTGCCTTGGATTCTTTTCTCACATCAAAAGGATCTACTGATGGCTCCAAATATGGATTTAAAAAAAAAAATCATTTTCTTGGGGGCTCTTACAGCTCTTCTAACCATCCATACATCCATTGTATCAAGCACATTTAAGTGTGGATTCTTGACTAAAAACCTGTGTGTCACAGTGTGCACTTGCTTCAAGATACTGTCACTTTTTACAGGACTGCTTTTTACTGAGGAGTTCTTGTCTTCCTTAAAACACCCTGATTTTTCTAAAATGCCTGCCTATTGGGAAGTATTAATCCATATATTTTGTTAGAAAAAGCAGAGATGCCAAATAAATCAAGGTAACATATATTAGAATATGGAGCCATTTATAATTGAGGTTACTGGGAGATTTTTTTAATAGTACAAAAAATTCATTTAGACAAAAGGCAGATGTAGATGGTAAGGTTTGGTCTTTGAAGAATGAGACACTCCCCAGTTTACTTGGTTTCTAAACCTCTATGAGTTACAAGAGGAACTTCCTGAGCCACTCCCGCTACTGCAGGCTCATCCCTCCCAGCTCTGTGGGCTGGGAGCAACTGGACATCCATGCCCCAGCAGGCTTTCCACCTTGGTAGCAGGGAATGCTCCCGTGGGGTTACCACTAATTGAATAACGTAAGACAGACATTTTGAAGTCTGGATCTCTATCACGAGTTGCTCGGTCTTACCTGTGGGTTTTTAAAAAGTGCGTATTTTTCTATACGCTCCATAAATACAAGTTTGTTTTGGCTATCTCTTGTCCAGTTAAGAAGGTTTTCAACCAAGTTTTCATGGTCTTCAAAGATTCTCTCTGTTCCAAAATAAAATATCAATATTTTTTAGTGTTCCTGAAAAGCCTCATTGTTTTACAGGAGGCTTTCAGAAGCAGAAAACAGAACAACCAGAAATAATGCAATATGCATCAAAAACAAGAAACCTTAGTTAGTTCACATGTAATTACAGATGTAATTATTTTTTACACTGCTACTGATGTAACTACTTTTCACACCAGAGCCCTGGGGCTCTTAACGATTATCTGGTCTTTCCTCATTTGTTTTAAGTAAGCAAAAATGTACTTGTGACACAAGGGACCTAACTAAGGTCACACAGGTGATACATGGTAGAATTAGCTCCAGAGTATAAGTCTTCAGACTCACAGAAGATCCTTCTTCAGCCTTTAAAATGTTCTCATCCCAAACTTCAAGGGAAAAGCAAAATACTTCAGTTGCATTTCACAAATTTTTGATACTAAGTATTTCCACTAGTCTTCAGTTCTTGGCATTTAAAAAAAAAATCCAAGATGATTTCTTCTTTACTTCATTCTCTTGCTTAATTTCAAACAAACACTGATGTGATTTCTAACTTACCAATTAAAAATCAAAGAATGTCATATATATGAATAAACATATATTCAAAGAATATAATCTACGTACGATTCTCTGAAATTTGTTGAGAACTGCTTTATAGCCTCATCAAAATCAAACTTACTGCCATTGAGTCAGTGCTGACTCACGGCGGCGATCCCTTGTGAGTTTTCTGAAAGTCTAACTCTCTCCAGGAGCAGAGAGCCCAGTCTTTCTCCCTCAGAGCTGCCGGTGATTTTGAACTGCCGACGGTTTGACTCCTAACAACTACATACCACCAGAGCTCCCTATACTTCGATCAGTTTCTGCTTGGGAAGAAAGTATATTCCCTTGCTGCTAGCTACAGTGTCTTAAACATAGCGGTTGTTGTGGCTAGGTGCCACTGACTTGGTTTCTACTCAGAGTGACCCTACGGACAACAGCAGAAACCACTGCCTGTGCCTTCCCCGTCCTCCGAATTATGAAATTATGATGTCGGAGACACTGATGATGCACCTCTGTGTCAACCCAGCTCTCACTGAGGGTCTTCCTCTTTTTCACGAACGCTATTAAGCAAGGCGTCCTTCTGGCAGTGCATCAGGCAGCGTTCCATTGATATTCATAAAGTTTTCCCTGGCCAGTGATTTTTCAAAGTAAATTGGCTGGTCCTTTATTAGTCCCCCTTAGCCGGGAAGCTCTGCTGAAATCTGTCCATATGGGGGCCCTGCTAGCAGTACCTGAAATATTTGAAGCATAGCTTCTAGCATCACAGAATCACACAGGCTACCATAGTATGATGAATTGACAGACCAGTGGTTATAACTTAACTATTTGAACAGGATTTTAAGTTATTTTTCAAGTATTGTATATCCTTTTTAGTTGGCTTGATTATATATTGGTTACTGAAATATATCTGTTTTTCTCCTGATCTCTTTTTACTTCATGTATTTAAAGTGAGATAAAATTAGAAGGATTCTGTCCTCTGGTGAAGTCAATGTGCTAAGTATGACAATGCAGAACTCTGGTGACATGGTGCTGTAACATAGTCAGACCACCTTTCTGTGGTGGCCTTTTCCACGCCTTTCACTTCAGTCTCCCGTGTCTTTAGGTGTCTTTTGTAAATGGCTGAAAGCTGCACTTTAACATCTAGCCTTTCTAAAAACCTTCATGCTTTAATTGAAGAATACACACTTATCAATACTTGCTTCCACAATCTTATTTTGATTTCATTTATCCCTTGTCTTTTAACTATCCCCCGGGCCCATTTTATTGGGGGTGAGTTTACATTCCCTTTTAATTTGTATTGGTTTGGAAGTTATACACTATGAGTTACTATGCATTAAACTTTCTAGAGTAGACACTAAAGAATCAAGTCCAAATTTGAACAATTCTTTTTACCTCCCTCTTAAGTAACACAGGATCTTCACTTTAACACTGGTCATCCCTGACTCTAGAATTATGCTACTGTGGTCTGATATGTCGGTCTTTCCAACCACAAAACCTTCAACATATCAGACAGTATCATCCCTTTCTGCCACCACTTCTCATACTTCTAGTCTGGGATCATTGTCCCTTCAATATAAATTGTATTTTCTAGGAACCTTTAGTTCCAGTCTCAGGGTCCTACATTTGGGTTGTTTTATTAGTCTGAAATGTTTACTTTGTCCTTCTTGAAAAAACAGTATTTTTCGGTTACAGAATTCTAGGTTTATAACTGATAGTTAAAATTTCCTTCCGTCCTCTGAAACTACTACTCTACTGTCTTCTCGCTTCTTTGATTGTTGATGAGAAGAAGTCAGTGACCAGTTCAGCTAGCATTCCTCTGCAGCTATGTGTCTCGGTATGGATGCCTCCTGCTTCACACTCATGTGCTTTATGACTCTGAAGGCTGGTGAACCTTGTATGGGTTTTAGAAAATTCTCAAGCAAAAGTGACTTCTTTTCTCTCTCCCTGTCCTCTGCTGCTTTGTGAGTCTGGTCCTGTTCTCCATGCTTTGTGGATGCTTTCCTTCACCTTTTGACTTCTCAGTACTGAGGCCATTCCCAGCAGTTCTTAGTTTTACGTTTTTACTCTGAGGGGCTTTATCTTCTAAGGGAATTAGTTTTATAATCCAAGGGGCCAAACCACTCCAGCCCTTTTAGGCTGTTTTGTGTGTCCTTTGCACTCACCTGCTACTGGCAGGCTGAGCAAAATAGCTCTTTTACAAGCCACTGTTCCCAAGTTGAGCTTTGTAGAGATCTCAGGGAATGGTATTTCTGTTCTCAGGTACATAAGACACCCTGCTACTTTCTCATTTTCTCTCATGCAGATGCCAAACACACGGAATTTTTAGTCACAGGCCCAGGCAGTCCTCGGGTTGCGAACATGTGTTAGGAACATCTGTCATTAACAACTGATTTACAGGTCTAACTCCTACTTGCCCTTTAATGTTATGTCAATCTGCCCTCACTTTAAAATGAATGAACAACCCCCCAGTGGCAACACATTTTTTCGTCACCATCACCTGAACATACTGCACATGCAGCTTTTAAAATCGCTAGAAAGCCTCCGAGCCTCTTTTTGGACCAAAGGAAAGTTAAATACAAATTATATGCACCTATTATGACTTACCTACAAGTTCTTAGAGACAGAGTTAGGAATGGATCTGGTCTGTAATGGAGGACCGCCTGTACTGTCTAAGAACCCTCCCAGCTTCCATGCCAAAGCATGGATCATTCACAAGACTACGTCCTCAATGGAGCACTTTATTTATTTATTTTTTAGGGGGAGCACTTTAAATTATTGATGAATAGAACTAACTTTGCTGTCACACTGTCTGAATCTGAATCTTGTTCTCACAACTTACTGCAAGTGAGAAAGTTACAACTCCAGAGTGTGAGGGAAAAGCAAGAGCAACGTCCCTTCCGTCACATAATTTACAACCTACTTTTATTCATCCAAGCAGAACTAAAAGACCACATATTCTATTAGAAGCACTGCACCACCATATATGGAGCTTAGAGATTACAGGTTCACTTAAAACACTATGGTCAACCTTATAGAGCATAAAAGAAAATTATTACTAAAATATCTTTATGCTATTGTCAGGGAAATAATCCCCAAATTTGCACTCAGATATTTTCTGTATATGTCTGCAAGTAAACCTTCACATTTAGTTCTCCAGGAAAGTTATATGAGTATTATTTGGATAGATTTTTGTACATATCAATAACATTTTAATACCCTGTGGTTCAGTTCTTAGGGTGTATATGTGCATTCTGGGAGAAATGATATAATAATTAAATTTCTATTTCTGTTAAGTATGGTGAGATTTTGAAAGACAGCAACAAAAATACATTTTTAAAACATAATTGCATTTGGAAGTTGACAACTGCTTTTATTAAGTTTATTAAATTCTTCGAGGTCACAAAATTGTTACAAAAAATAATAATACATCTTTAAAGGACTAAAATTCAGTAATGGCATAAAAATAAAGGAATCCTTAGAATTTGAAAACATCATGCCAAACTATAAAAATTATAGGAAGCAAAAACAGTACACCTAGCTAATAAAAGTGCTTTAATGTTTCTTCTGGGAATCAAATGATATGATAAAGACTTTTGTGTGCAGGCAAATAAGTGTAATGGTCTCTCTAAAAGTGTTTATATTTATATTATTACTTGAAAGGGAAAAAGTGTTTTGCCGTCTTTAAAAATAAAAATAAGCACACAAAAACTGTTTTAGCCATAAGAAAATCTGAAGTGCACTGAAAATGATCTCCTATAAAAGAATTTCAAAATACTTAAGAAAAAAAATGGATAAGGACACGTCAAATTTGAAAAGGTAATATAGTAAAAATATATGAAAATGTCTCAAAATACTTTATCAACATGAAGCAATTAAAGCCAGTGATCTTATTACTAACCCATTTGTAACTCGGAGATGGTTTCTACTAGCGACCAGTCTGAACTATAACCGCAGTGGGATTTGTCCATCAGGTTACCCAGCACTTGTCTCACTGTTTGTCGCTCATCCACCATCATTGTTTTAGAGCTGTCATCAGACATGTGGACTCGAATCACCAGCTATAACAGGTCAAAAGAAAATTGAAGAAAACAAAGAAATAGGCATTCTAAAAAAGGATACACATTCTTCTAGTTTTTAAAAATCATTTTATTAAGGGTTCATACAACTCTTATCACAATCCATACATATATCAATTGTGTAAAGCACATTTGTACATTCATTGCCCTCATCATTCTCAAAACATTTGCTCTCCACATTCTTCTAGATCTTTAAGGCTTCCGCTTCCCACACTATCATGACTCCGGTTCAACCTTACAAACCCGGCTAGACTGGAACATGCACACTGGTAATGATAAGAGCTCGCGACACATGGAATCCAGGACAGATAACCCTTCAGGAACAGAAATGGGAGTAGCAATACCATGAGGGTAGGGAGGTGTGGTGGGAGAAGGGAGAGAAAGGGAGAACCAATCGCAATAACTGGTGTAGAAACCACCCCCACCCTGCCCTGAGAGGGATGAACAACAGAAACATGGGTGAAGGGAGACAGCGGATGGTATAAGATATGAAAATAATAATAATTTATAATTTATCAAGGAGTCACGAGGGTGGGGAGGGAGGGATAAAACAGGAGCTAATACCAAGGGCTCAAGTAGAAAGAAAATGTGCTCGACCGATACAATTGATGTGTGAATTGTTATGAAGACCTGTAATTGTAAGAGCCTCCAATAAAATGATTTAAAAAAAAAAAAGGATTTCTCCCAATATCAAACAATGCTCTGATGAATGCCCTAGGTTCACTATAACAAAACATATGAAGTTACTAAGCAAGAAGTATAAAGGTTTAGACATCCAATAGCCTACCTAAATGAATGTAAAACATTTTATTTTGGTTAAATTAAAGTAACAGCTAAGCTTATGATAGTAAGATTATTTAAAAAAAAAACACCAAAAAACTCTTGAGAATTTAGAAACAAAAAAAACCCAGAAAGTTATTTTTAAAACAATGCATTTTTTTATCTACAAAAAAATACTATAGTTGAAAATATATCATCAAGAATATCTATTATTCCTTTACCTCTCCACATCTTCAAGATGTGTTATAGAAACAAAGTAGCTTCTTAAGATTGATAAAAATCTCAAACCAGAAAAAGCCCACATTTTACCTTTTTCACTTGTGCCTCTTTAATTTTCTCTAGGGCAACTCTGATCTTCTCAGCTTTCAGTTTTGCTGCCTGTTCTTCCTGTGAACACAAAGCACTTCAGAGAAACTAATGCTAAAAAGATGAGAATAACTGAGAAGTTCTTTAATCCCAACACTGAAGGATCTGAAGTCTGCTCTTAGCATTGGATTTCATTAAGAATCTATTTCACACATACAGAGTGATCACATTCAAACAAACACAAACAAACAAAAGTGCTCGCCAATTGACATTTTAAAGGGAGGAACATTTTAATAGTTGTAAACAAAGATCTCCTATCATAAGACTAGATTCTAGGGTCTGGGAGGAACCCATCTCTGATGTGATAAATAATGAGTGTGATTCTGATCATCCAAATTGGATAAACCTCAGGTTCTGGACAGGGGTGACATGAATTCATGTTGACTACTTGGAGATCCAATCTGTTGTACCAGCATAATCTGGCAACTCTGAATTTATGTCCCTTTCAAGATATTGGGGCAATATTATGGATACTAATGTTTTGCTCTGTTACACTGAAAATATATCATCATAAAAATATCTGTAGCACAAACCAGAATTAGTCATTTATTTGCAACAGTACAAACATCCTTAATAAAAAATGTAGGCATGCTTTCCTTTGTATATCAATATGAACAGCACAGGTTGATCCTAAGTACCCATATCTTATTATGTTTTGAAAATTCATACCATAATCAATGTTTCCTGTTAGTCAACTCAAAGTCTGTCCTACTAACTGAAAGGGTTTTTAAAATGCTAAATATCATTTCCCAAACACTGAATTTTTAGGAAAGTTACATTATAAATAATAATGAAAACTACCAAGAACTAATATGTGCTTAAACCATTTATCTAATTTTTTCCTAAGCTCCCCCAGCCCCCACCCCAGCCCCCAAACAAAAACAAAACCATGTAGTTCTCTTAACACAGGTACTTACTTGTAATTTCCAGCAATAGGCCATAATACACTGTAGCATTAATCTCCAATTGAAAGAAAAAAACTCACGTAAGTCAACCCTTTGCTTATGAACTATTGTTTTGTTTAAACTCTTGATTGCTCTAGGAAATATCTAAAAATATAAACTTCTATCCTAAATAGTTCTGTATTTAGTGTAAGACCAAAAAGACAACAAAAACCAACAAAACACAATGGAAGAAAACAAAATAAAGTCTAATTATATCGGCCAAAATTTATCCTCTTGGGCTTATGATGATGAAAAAAACACAATCCATGTGTTATTCTTCATTAAAATGCTAGTGCTTCCAGCACAAAAAACAAAAACAAAAACTTGATTCATTTAGCAGATTTAGTTCCTGTTGTGTTCCAAATTTTGCTGGCGTCCTTGTTTATGAAGTGCCTCTCTTTCCATTTTATACTCTCGGCTCTCTTCTCTCATCTCAAGCTCAGTATTTGTTGAACACAGAAGAAAACAGTGGTGAAGGAAGGCAGTGGTCTTGTTTGCCAGAAATCTGATCCCTTTCAATGAAAGGAGCTAGTGAATTATCATAACGACCAAGGTCTTGAAATCCTATCTGTAAACCCAATTAAGCTGAGAACAAAGCAGTTTATTTTAACAATGGAGAAGCATAAGGTAAGACTTGATTAATATACTTTTATAGGTACATTTCTTTGACCAAAAGATTTTTTTCTTCAAGTGACTCCTTTATGTATATAAACATATAACAATGATAAAATATGTTGTTTTAACGGAAGATTCCTTTTTCCCCCCATCTCCATTCTAAAGCAGGCTGTATGAGAGAGCTAAATTGTCTTTAAAACTCAGATTCTGAGTCTTGAAAAAAGAAAAACATTATTAGTTAATTGACTAAACCTTACTTATATATGCTTTTGATGAGATCCCTGTTCTTCAAAGGAATTTTAAATAGTACAATTTTCCAGTGGGTCTTATGAAATTAGTTACTGGATTAAAAAAAATTTTTTTTTTAGGAAGAGGGCTGCAGACGCTTTGTTTAGGAGTGGGATCAATGATGCTGTGCTGTCCATGGTTTATTTGCCACATGTTTACATTTCCATGAATGGCTACTACAGAAACATTTACTGAGGCCTATATTCAAATTTCATATCATGTCCTAGGAAAGTAAATTTAAAGTTCAAATCTAAAGGAAACATGATATGTAGAATCAATGTGTTCTGTGTATCTGGAACATGATTATGAATTTCTAGAAAAGAGATTTTCTTAAGATTTAATTGATCTACAGAAGTAAAAAAAAGTTTTGAAGATTTCTTCAAAGCCTAAAAAGTATTTTTAAGGTACAAGAAAACAAAAAATTTAAACAATGCATTCTGTTATGCTCGTCTAACATATTACTATCTGAAGAAACCGAACTGATTGAGGTACCTCCATCAGTAGTTACAAAGATAAGGCAGACTTTTCATACCCCTGTTCTGCCTTAGGCTGGTTCTAAAGACCAGGTCAGCATGTGAAAGTTTGCATGATGTGACCACTATGACCAGATGACCACTGTGTAACCACTGAGAATCATGGCCCAGCCAAGCTACACCATAGCCTTCACCATCACCACCAGCATTAATGACTCTCATTTTGCACCTTGGCTAATAATGCCTGCTATACATCATTAATGGGAAAATCTTCGGATAGATGTTTTACTCTTGTCATAAACATAAAATGCAGGATAACAAGGCAATTGATAAGTAGGTGTAATTAATATTATCTGCAAAGTACACTAGAACACAACCTGTGTTAACTTTTGAAACAAATGACCTAAAAAGCCATACAATTATAGGATTTGCTAACATTCACAGCTCCGTTTCTGCTCCACAGTTAAGCAAAAAAAAAAAAAAAACTGACACATTGGAACAACGGACTAAACAAACAAGAGACGTGCGATCAATTAACACGTAAACCAATTAGATAGCCTACCTGTCACTAAGAAATACTTTTTATGCAAAGTAGTTAGGTGGGGACACTTTAACAAATTGATATTCTGCTAGTCTTTCATCTGCTCAAAGTGCTACTCCTTAATAACTAATACAAATTGCTTTAAAAAATGGCCGTGTTAAGTCTCTATCAAATTCATATTTAAAAGTCACATGTTTGATCTCAACTGAGGCAAACTTAAAAGTATTCTCTTCTAATTTATCACAAGGATAATCTTTGCTACCGTGTTTCCCTGAAAGTAAGACCTCCCCGAAAATAAGGCCTACTTAACAGTTTTGCCTCTCACTGAAATATAAGGCACCCCCCCGAAAATAAGACCTCCCCGAACATACGGTCCCCCCCCAAGCTACTGTAACTCTGGACTCTGGACCGTAGCGGTGGGCGCTGCCGTGCAGCTCACTGTTGGCCGCAGCGCAGCCAGGAAGTGCAAGTAAATGTACTACAGATTATGAGTAAATGTACCAGATTGTTGTACATGGAAATAATGGTAGTAACAAGAAATTCTTGATACTTTAGGATTCAGTTTGTCTGGTTATGCTGGTTTGTGTTACCGTACCTTATACAGGTAATACATTTCCTTTTTTGTTGTTCAACAATAAATGTGTACCATATTCTTCATGGAAAAATAAGATATCCCCTGAAAATAAGACCTAGCGCATCTTTGGGAGCAAAAACTAATAGAAGACACTGTCTTATTTTGGGGGAAACAGGGTAGAAGCAATTTGAAGAAACAACTGAGGTATCTCTATCATTCAGTCTGCATAATATCACTGGGGCAAAACTGGAAATGAAATATTTATATCAAATTGCAAGACTCCTAGTATTTCATGTGCCATACGGAAGTAAGAAAGTCTTATTTATCTACCACATATACGCCCCATAACAACCTGGGAAATAAAATTATCCAGAGTGTACGAGAGGGAAGATCACTTAATCTTTCCTGACATGTTTAGAGACTTAGAAGATCTGAACAGGTTTTATTTTCATTAAAGTCTATGTTCAATGTCTGTAGCCCAAATTTAGTAAAAAGAACAAAGCTTTATTTAATCTCATATTCTCTGTTTAAAAGCTGGCAACTCAAGGTCTTAAATGGTCTTTCTCATCTCTTTTGATTATTCCTTTTTTTCATGTTACTTGCTCCACGAGAGCAATCTTTTACAATATATACAAAAACTTAACTTTCTCTTTTACACATTCTAAAAAAAGAGAAAGAGAACCCACTTTTTCCCTGAAACACTCCTGTGTATCTCTATCAATGACTATCAAATGCCGAGCCTCCTCAAATTTACATAACAGACAAAAACTAGGTGAAGATCCTAGGATTAAATGAAAGCCAATGCTGTGGATACAAAGTGTTACACTCTCTCTGGTGTAAAAATTAGAATACTTAGAGAAAAGAGTTACAGTTGCTAAGAGATGGGAATGAATTCCTTCAATTAATGATTATGGCTTTGTGAGTTCAGGACATATCTGATTGACATTAAAGAGCTAAACAGTAGTAGCAAACCTGCTCCCCCACCCCCCACCCTGAATCTAGCTTTTGTTACAGATTACAATAATAAAGTTTTGTTAATTAAAATCATTCAAATACAACTTCAACTGAGATAAACAATTGAATACCCATTAAATGCACTTTTCTGTTTTTATGTAGGAAAGAGCAATTAGTGATGTGGTAACTACAGGTAGAATCATAGAATTACTGCTTGCACAGTGGTTAAAGCACTTAGCTGGTGGCAGTGTGAAGCTATAAATGAATAGTCCTCTTTGCTGATGTGGCCTATGCACAGTGTTGCTGTGCATGTGAGCACTACATCGGTCTCACCAAGGAGACTGCAGGCTCCACTGTTAGGAGTGGAATTCCATTATCCTTTAATGTTGACCACATATACCACCACTATGTCTTCACTAATAGGAGACAGTCGAGGCAGGAAGGGATCTGACATTGCTCTTGTTGGTATCGCTATCTGGTGGGCAGAGAGAGATGAGCAGTGATTGCATTAATCCCAAACTTGCATAGAACTGCCCCTGTGGTAAGGACTTTGTATTGTTATTGCCACCGTTACAGAATAAACAATGGCACTCAGCAGCTACAGGCTTGGACTGTACAAGGTTACTTATGGACAGGTATTTTTTAAATATCACCTTGTGACCAGTTAGAGCCTCCTGTGAATTGTGTATCACTGAAAAAAGTGACCCCTCACAGTTCTCATGTATATTCTATCAAGTTTATTTCAGTACCATCAGCGTCCAATAACACCCTGGGATGCATATAAAATGCCACTAGGAATTCCAAGAAGCACCACAGACAGATCTGCAGGTGTGACTGCTGCCATTTCAAGAGAAAGAAAAGCCAGCGTAAGGACCAGAGTAAAAAAACCAGAGTAAAAACAAAACAGGAAACTAGTGATGCCACATTGCAGCTATGCCTGCAGGTGCAAAATACCTTGAAAATACTTGAAAATGCTGGTTTTATGTAAGAGTAAGTCAAAAGGTATTGTTACCTGGGTTCCAGTTCACACAGGTACTCATCTATTGTGCACAAAATGTGTGTAAACGTGTGTAATTAAGGAACGGAGGCAGACAAGCCCTCTCAGTGATACACTTGTTTTAGTCTTTAGGGTGCCTTCAAAAAAGTAGTAATCTGGACAGAGGGCAACCACAGGAGCTTATTAGGAAGAAATTTTAAGAAAACACAAAAATGTCTTGATGAAGAAAAACCCAGGAGAGTTGTGCCAATAAATTTCTCCCCCAAAGGGGAGGAGGAAGGGAAGGGGGGGGGGGAATTTCTCCCCCAACACAACATCTTCAGAGCAGCAAGGGCTGTCCTCCGAGAAGCCTGTTGTGAAACCTGACCCCATCTTCCCACAGCCCAGATCTTGCCCTTTAGGCCTCCTTTTGTTTCCCAAACCCAGAGGACATTTAAAAGAAGTATGTTTTGAGTCCCTCAAAGATGTCAAAACTGTCATTTTAATGGGGTGTAAATCTAAAAGAGCAGATTTTTTGAGGAGGGGTTTGAGAGATGGAAACACCACCTTCAGAAGTATGTGGACCTAGTAGTAGATTATGTAGAGAACCAACAGATTCATATTTTAATACAGTTATTTAATAAGGTTATGATTCATCGCAATACTTTTTAATTACTCTCATACATAGGTGAGGGCTTCAAAAGTTCATGGGGAATGAATGAAAACAGCATATTTCCATAAACTTTAAAAAAATCTCCCTGTACGACATACAAAGTATCTGTTAATCGGTGGTTTCTGTTTTCAGTATGGCTTCTGGGCAACAGTAGGCTATTAGTAGTTGTATTTTGGAGGAGTCAAACTTTAGGCATGGGTTTTGAATTGTGTGCAGGGTCAGTACTCCTGACCCCCTTCTTGTTTAAAGATCAGTGGTGCTCAGCAAATATTTGTTGGATGAATAAAGTTATTCTCTTCAATGGTGTCCTTCTGCAACTGGGGAAAAATGGCTGCCTATCTCTTCAACCTCAGATCAAGGCCTTTACTCAGCCTCCAGGCACAGCAGCATGGTCTGGTTTTCAGTTTCCTACACATGCCAAGCTCCTTCCTTCCTTGGCTTATCCACATAGAACATTCCCCGTCCATATGCCTCCATGCTGGCTTTTCATCCTTCCAGCTTTAACTTACCTGTCACCTCCTTAGGACGGCCTTCCTGCTTTCATCACCTAAATCAACTGTACCTCTCCCTAGTATTACTGACTGCTCTTCATAGTACTGAGCATGATTTAGACTTTTCTTTCTGTCTTTTTACATGCTTGCTGGTTCATGTTTACTAACTACCTATCTATCTTTCTAAGCAGACTTTGAGTTCATCAGGTGAGGAATATGTCCAGCTTACACAATGTTATAACCCAGTGTCTAGCATAGTGCAAGGCTCAACCAAATGTACCGAATAAATCAAATGATCATTGTAAAATGTTGAAACTTAATCTGAAGGCAGTGTACAAAATGAACGGGAGGAAGGCAAGACTATAGACTGTAATCATTCTGTAGGAGCGAAGAGCCTGCTCTAAAGTGGTAGCAGCTGGAATGAGATGCACAATGCAATAAATATGACAGCTCAAACAGAATTCGAGGTTTAACAGAGTAAGGCAGAGGTAGGAAGGCGCCAAAGCGGTAAACCTGGAACCTGGGAGAATGGCAGCACCCTGATGGAAATGAAAATGTCTGAGGAAGAAGGCAGATGGGCTCTGTGGGGCTCAAGGGAGAGTGTGTTATGGATGCAAGAGGTCTATGGGGTTTGAAGTTCTGGCAAGGAGCTAACCATCTCCCAGGAAATGCTTCACAGCTGCCTGGAATGTGGTGCAACCAGGGAAAGCTACCAAGTGTGAACTCCAGGGAGAGAGCGAGTCACTAAAAGAATGAGGAGAATTTGAGAAAAAGCAAGACTAGGTTTGTCTGGTTCTGAAGTATGTGGATAGAGCCTGCTTAGATGTCTACACTTCCTTGATCTTTAAAGCTTTACCTCACTTCTAGATCTGCCTTAAGGGAGAAGCTCGGCCAGGAAAAAGGATCTGATTGTTGGCAAAGGGCCCTCTCTTTGAACTGCTTCTCAGGGGAGATTTTAGTTCTAACCCCATCTTGTGTTTTATAAAGGTTCAAAAGTTAGGAACAAATGGATTTTAAAAACAAACAGACAACAAGACAAAGACATTTCAGATATAATAACAACAACCTACACATTGTTAATAATCACTATCACATTCTTCAGAAACTGTCCATAACCAACTCTAGCATTTCTAAATTTGCCACGATTTAAATAAGACAATGAAGCAGAGGTATGACTTAGAGAAGAGAGAAATCCACTCAACTTTCCTGTAATTCCTAAGTTAATGATGACAATAGCTCAAAGATTTTTAAACTGATGTATCAGCCCAACAAAAAAATTCAACTAGATTCATTCAAACTATTCTGAGGGTAGAGAACTGAGAAATTAAAATTGCAGAATACCCTTCCAATGACTAAACTAATGCAAACTAAGATTTTCATATATGAGTAAATGCTTCAATTAAACAAAGTGATGATAATACATTCAAGGATTAGAGAACAAGGTGTTACAGAAACTCATAAAACGGATAACCATTAGTAGTGAAAATTAAAATTAAAGCAATGCCTTTAAAAAAAAAAAGACTTTAAAGTTCAATACAATGTAAAGCTGGGGTGGGGAGAAGCAACATAACATAAGATTTCCAGGCATTTACAAAAGCTTAAAAGACTATTGAAAATTTACTAAAAGTATTTTCTACTCTCAATACTTCTCTAAGAGTTCTTTTAATCAGTACATAATTACCTTCCTTCATTAAGAGGGGAAAAAAAGTACTGCTAGTAAGGAGAAAGATGCTGAAATATGATCGCAATTATCTGATAGCACAATCAAAATCAGAAATTATAGTCTACCTACAAGTCAATAAATAATTACATGCAGGTGGACAGAAGAAGTATCACCTGGGTCAGCAAATGAGAAGGCTTTCCTGCAATGTTTCGCAGAAGAAGGGAGGTTTCCCTGTCCAGATAGGAGTGCTTGTGCAGAAACGGAGAGAAAAAAAAACACAAAAAAAGGCAATAGAAGTCAATGGAGGTCTTATGTGCTTAAAATATAAAGTAGACAAAGCAAGAATGAATCTTTATAATTAATCTCAGATCTTTTTCCCTACACCAGTAAAATAGAAGGGGGGACTTTCAAAAAGGTCACAGAAAAATTCCATCATCTTTTAATTTTCACACAAACTTTTTTTTAAACCCTCTCTTAGGTGTGTCATTGAAAAAAAATTCAGGTGGGAAGGAGTGAGGTGAAGACACCATTACACCAGTGTGTGTGTTGCCAAAGACCCCTGACGCTTCCTACTTTTTAGAAAATGGATGATACACTGCAAGGATCCCCGAGCCAGCTTACTTTCTAGAGGGGTGTTTGAGAGGCTGTGTACACAGCACGGTTGTTGAAGAAGACCAACAACTGAATATTTATTCCTTCTTCTTGTTAAGGCCTATATAAGACCTATCTAGTTCAAATACTATTTTCTGGGTGATAACAGAATTATGACTATGAGATTTGTGAAACTGGTACACATTTTTGATCAACTCAATGATAGCCTTATCAAGAAGAAAAATTTCATAAATATTTTACCTAATCAACATCACCCCATGTCACTAAAGTTTCTGAATTCTCTCAATTTATACAAATTATGGTATACTAACAGGACTGTGCTGTTAGTGAAGGATTTCCATAGCAAATTCATATGGACAAGATAGTAAATTCCCTTAAACTGGTTTAACCAACTCAAGCAATTAAGACATTTTCTTAAAACATATGACTTGTGAATAATAGTCTCTGACTACCCTTTTCCTCTCAATAATTTTCAATAACACTGTGTAAGTTGAGTTCACGCAACTGAATTTGTTCTTATGTAGTACAGCTGTTTAAATACAAAGAATTCAGACTTGCCTATCTCTGAATAATCCTGAATTAGCATTTATTTTGTTAATGTTCTGAGTCAACATTGACTCGATGGCAGTGAGGTTGGTTTTATAGAGTTGACTAATCACTATGAAAAACATGGAACGACACAGATGAGTGGAGTTACAGAAAACATTCTAGTGTTATATTTTGTAACGCTAACTGTATTGTCAAGCAAACCCTTTGGAAAGAAACTGATTAATAATAAAACATCAGCACCTATGCTCATAAAGTACAGTCACAGATGATAAATATACTACCTGATTAGAAACAGTTACAGACATACTATATTAATGTCATATTAACTTCATCTTTACTCATCTATACATATGGCTGTTACAGTGTTTCATTCCTGTCTCTAGTGTGGCTTTATTTTAGTTCAAGATAAACTTTACAAAAGCATGCCTCCCCCCACCCCCCACACTTAAGGTTTTAAAAAAAGGGGTATATTCACCAAGATTAGAACTATGTAACAAAGTAAAATAAGAACAAAAGAAAAAAATCACTTCCACCCTCATTTACTGAAAGGGAACATTTCTCCTAAAGGTAAAGATTAGTTGGCTCATCAAGGACAGTAGGTAATCCCAAAATCTCTGAGAATTCAGTTTAATTTGAGGTTCGCAATTAACTAAGCATTAGGGAGAGAACTAGGAACTAAGAATGAAAAGGATGACTTAAAAGTGTAACTACCATACTCACTGTTCTTACTCCCATTCATATTTTGCTATTTGCACTTTATGGGTAAAAATGTATTCTTACATAACTATAATGTAGACAATAATTTCTTGAAAAGCTAATCTCCTATGTACTTTGTCTTACACCTAAAGGTTCCTTTCTTAGAAAAAGATCACCCAATAAGTAAAATATATCTGTTTCAGACTAACAAAACAAACTATGATTTGGTAAACATTAACTCCAGACATTAAAGTTTAAGCTTCAAAAACAAACAAAAATAAGATTTACTCAATCCTCAAACTGGATGTCACCTTAAGCACTGAGATCACTAAAATATCAGTAGGAGGCAATGAGAGTTAAATATCACTTGCTTATAGAAGCAGAAGTACAGAAGTATAGAAGCAGAAGTAAAATGTCCATTAAAAAATCTTAGATTTAAATAGCTTAAAATAAAAAGGATGGTAATCATTGCGGTTGGTGCCTCAGCCTTCAAAAGTGCAACATCTAAAAAATGAGGCAACAAGCCACAGTTAGCCATGGTCATAAATTACTTTATAATCATCTGTGCTTAGGACAGTCAGGTAGCTTGCTCACTGCTTCCTCACTGGCAGGGAAGCCCAGGAAGGAGCCTACCAAAACTACATGTACCTACCTATATTAGGAAGAAAGAACGTCTAGACAACAGAAGCACGAAACTTCTTCCTTCAATACATGCTTTACTTTACACCTATCTTCTTCCCCAAACTGCACCCCAGGGCAGTTCTACCCTCTCTAACAGAGGCGCTGAGAGTTGGAATAGATATGATGGCAATAAGAGATTTTAAGTTACTTTTCTTGTTCCTCCTTATTAAACACTGGGGCATTAAATTAGCTTAAAAATACATATATGTGGGCAGGTTATATTATTGTCTATGAATTTCATTTAGAATAGGGCAGTGTTAATAATTATTTGCTGTCAAAATGGGGTGCTGGACCTGAACAGACTGAGAATCGTTGTTTGGGCAGAAGACACAGCAGATGACTGGACAAGTATTATAGTAAGTGTGGCTGATGCTTAGAGATGAAATTAGAGATGTTTCACTCTGTAAAATACAACCAACGATTGAGTTGTGAAATTAATTTGCTGGGTTATTGTATAAGGATAGGAAAAGGAAAGGAGGAGAAAAAAGGAAGTAAAGAAGACCAGAGGGAGAGATTCCATTTGTTTGGGGTGAGGGCCAAGATTCATAAAGATCTATTTTTAAAAGATGATTCAAAGATGACTGAGGCAACCCTGTTATATGGAAATAAATATAAAAAGATCTGAAAATGTCATTAAATTTTCTTCTAGGTGAAACATTACAAAAGCTAAAATAGCTTTTAAAGGTTAAATAAATTAGTGTATTTTATTTAAATGAAAATATTAAGGATAGAATTATTTCAATAAGTAATCAATACAAAACAGTATAAAGAGGTATTTAAGCACTGCCCCCTCTCCCATACTAGTGTCTCAATGCAGGTCAGCCACATCTCAAGCTGCCTGTGGTTAGTGGCTACCCTACAGGCCGTGGAAGCTCTGGCATGTCCCGATTTGGTCAACTATTCCCTAGAAGAGGCATTTCTTAAATTAGAAAATTAGGTTTTCAGTAAAGCATCAGTATGGAAAAGTCCTTCTACTTGATATTCCCATTCTGAAGAACAGTTAAATATGTTCTTACAGTAATTTTTCAAAAGCCCTGAACTCTAGAAATCATCCTATGCTTCCCTGTTCCACTACAGCAGTTGTCTCAGATGAGCTATCCCCTGAATAATTTCATGACCAGTGTTAGTAGTCAGTGGTACCGGATCATAAAGTTGTGTTTGCTCATTTATCTTTAAGTTAGGTTGGATTTTTATTTGAGAAAACTGAAGCATATATGAAAAACGGTTTCATTATCAGTAGTTCTTAGGCCTCTTCAATGATATTTAAAGTAGTCCCACGGGTATGTTTATATAACTTACAGGTGTCAGCTCAGCCTGTTCTTCTGTGAAGGCAATATGACGCTTGGCCTGCTTGCGGGGCCATCTCAGAGAAAGAGCATGCTGTGAAAATGCAGGAAGGGAGAAAATGATAGGTAAAGGAAGTGGGAAAAGGCAGCTGTCATCATCATGCAGGAAAAAGATCCCTGAAATGAACTGTTTAATGGAGAGTCGCATGCAATTAACATTTCATTCTTTTATGTGAAAATTAAAAAGAAAAAGGAAGAACCAAATGATCCTAACCCTTGATAATTTAAGAATTTCTCTATACTTCCTGACAGTAGCCAAGAGAAATGGGCAGGCAAAGTGTCACCAACAAATCCATGCTGCTGAACCTCAATTGGGCCTTGAATGCTTGACCACTGATTATCGTCTTTCCCCGTCACTCTCTAAGCCACTCCCTCAAAGCCTGTTTCAAGGAGTCTCCCAGTTCTTGAAGTAATTTCAGTCTCTTTACATTACTAGGAAAACTACATTCATTAGGAGGATCTTCATCATTAAAATGCATGTGGTAAACACACTTGTATTCTGATCCTAATTCTACATGAATAGAAGTATGTGTTTTTCTTCCAAAGCTAAACATGTGTTAGATCCCAAACCTTCTCTGGTCTCAACAGTCCCTTAAGGAGAGTGGGAAAAGAGATAGAAAAACATTATTCTTGAGTAGCCTCTTAGCAGCAGTTTTCCCCCCTCCTTTGTTAAACATTTTTCTCGTTTTCATGGCTAAAAATTCTGAGTTCATGCTATTGTGTATCTCCTAACCTCTCACTTACCACTCAATTTGTTAGCAATCTTGGGCCTGCCATTCTTCCCCAAAGCCTTTTTCATTTGAAGTGTAACACATTCTCAAAGTTATCAATGATCTCTTAACTAGGAGGATTTTGCTTGTCTGGTTGTTGGTATTAATAGATACTTCCACACACACTAAATTATAGTGTGTTATATAAACATCCTAAGGATGTTGTATACTATGTTGACCGTTTTACCATATATTTATGGAATGTAGGAATAACCAACTATTTTTTTCTTGGTCTTCAGGCCACATGATCAGCTAGATCAGGACTGTCTTTTGCTTTCTCCATCTGCTAAAACCCAGTTACCAAGTCAAGCTTGATTCATAGCAAAGAATAGAGCTGCTCCCTAGGGCTGCTGAAGAGCGGCTACTGGATTTGACCACTGATCTTTCAATGGGTAGTCTGATGCTTACTCCACTGTGCCACCAAACTCCTTGTCTTCATTAGCTTAAAGAGATGCCATGGCATTGCTTTGGCTACTGTATCCATGGGAAACTGAGCACATTACTATTTCTACTCTCCTTTATTCTCAGGAAATGAAGACATAAGTACTAAGGGCTCCAGAAACTGCAATCTACACTCCAATAGTTTAGGAAAAAACTGTGCAAACACAGATAGAATGATAAAATAAATGTGGCAGAAAGTCTTACCTTTTCCCCAGGTATATTAAGTAGAGGGTTCAAGATGAAGCACTTCTTAGCACTTTAGATTATAATAAAACAACTTTAGATTATAACAAATTGGGAAAAAAAACAGGTTTGTGAACACATGTTAGTGTTTCAGTAAGGCAGAATGAATCCACCTTTTCTGCTAACAGGTGTGCATTTTTCACAGCTATTAAGAGTAAAGGCATAGCCCAGTGCAGAGTACCTGCCCTCAAGCCCTTGCCCTCTATTCACTGGCATGTACCTCTAAGCTTACTGTGTAGCCTATCTCCTCCTGTAAAACAGAAGTAATAATAGCACTTATCTCTAAATATTAGAAAAATTAATAAATGATAATAGTATTTGTATTACTGTAAGAGGGAAAACCACCAGAGACCTCACCTGAAATTCAATATGTTTAGAGATAATAACGTTTAAGTTAAACTTTCAAAAATACACGACAGCACCACAAGATGGGGATGTTACTGCATGCACCTCAGCCCCACGGGTCTGAATTGGAGAGCAGCAGCCGGTCTCCCCTTTGCTTCCCTTTGGTTGTGAAACAGCAACATGGGCTGTGGTATGAGCTCTGCTCCAGTCCACCAGAGTCCAAGTTCTGAAGCACCAACTATTAAACAAATCTTAAGTATTACATTATAACTAACTCTCTGCCTCAGTTCCTTCTATTATAAAATAGCAGAAATAGTAACTACTAACCGAGAGGCTCATGGATTGAACCCACCAGCTGCTCCACAGGGGGACACGGGCGAAAATACGGAGACCTGTTTCTGTAAAGATTACAGCCTAGGAAACCCTATGGGAAGGTCCTACAGTATCACATGAGATAGGGGAGTCAGAACAGACACACTGACACTCAACTGCAACAGTACTTATTCCACAAGGTGCTCTGCAAATCTGAAGACCTGAACAGCCTAAGGCCTACCGCAGAATCACACACACAGTAGCTCCTAATTCTTTTCTGTTTTCTCCCGTTATCTTTATTCCACCCCGAGGCCTGAAGGCACAGTGTCTGTGGAAGAAAGCTGAGGCTTTCTGCTCCCATCCAGACTCACAGCACTGGAGGCCCACAGGGCCGTTCTACTCTGTCCTATGTGGTCCCTAGGAGTTGGAACTGACTCGGTGGCAGTGAGCTTGACTTTGAGTTTATCTTGAACTCTCCTGCATAGAGTTAGTATTGTCTGAATGCCTTCCAACCCACTTTCTAATGTGACTATCTCAACTGGTTTTAAAAACAGGTATTACATTTCTATTCTTTTAAGCGTCCTTTAACAGCCCCCCACTTAGCCCCAAAGAGAAAAAGAACCTCCCCCCAAAAGACCTAAAACCAAATAAAGATACCAAAAGAAAATGCTCACATATTTCTTAGCAACACCCAAGAACCAGAGCATTCCAAAGCAGACTTTCCCCTTGGCTGCCACTAAATCTCTAGACTCATCTCTAATCCATCTTCCTGCTTTTACTTTATTTTTAATATTTTATTGGCACTTCATCCACACATCAAACAATTCAATAGTTCAACCATATCAAGAAGAGTTGTACAATCTTTACCACAATCAATTTTAGAATATTTTCTTTTTCTCAATATTGTTATTCATGTTGTTTCCCCTCCTTCCCCCCAATTTTTCCTGCTTTTAACATCACCAGATCAGAGATTCTGGAATCAAACACATAAGCATAAACTTCAGTGCAAGGCAGCAATGTAGTAAATGGAATTGTAAGAAAAATGTAGCAGCAATACATGAGAAGCCAGTTAATAACAACCCTGGCATTCCCAATATGTAAGCCTCTTATTAAAGTTATTAGAAAGCCCTGGAGAAGACAAGCCAGACAGGTGCGATGTAGCAACGATGAGAAATACAACTTTCCTCTAGTTCTGAAATGCTTCCTCTCCCCCCGCCCCTCACTATCACGATCCGAATTCTACCTTGCAGGTCTGGCTGGACCAGAGGAAGTACACTGGTACAGATGGGAGGGAACTGGAGACACAGGGAATCCAGGGCAGATGATCCCTTCAGGACCAGTGGTGTGATCGGCGATACTGGGAGCATAGAGGGAGAGTTGGTTGGAAAGGGGGAACCGATTACAAGGATCTACATGTGACCTCCCTGGGGAACGGACAACAGAAAAGTGGATGAAGGGAGACACCGGACAGGGCAAGATATGACAAAATAATAATTTATAAATTTTCAAGGGTTCATGAGGGAGGGAGGAGCGGGGAGGAGAGAGGGGAAAAACTGAGGAGCTGATGCCAGGGGCTTAAGTAGAGAGCAAATGTTTTGAGAATGACGAGGGCAATGAATGTGACAAATGTGCTTCACACAACTGATGTATGTATGGATTGTGATAAGAGTTGTATGAGCCCCTAATAAAATAATTTTTTAAAAAAAGAAAGGAAAAAAAAAAAAGAAAGCCCCATGCTCTAACTCTGAAGTTGATTCTTTAGCAGAACATTACAAAGTCTATGCTTGCTAATAATTTGGGGCTTAAGTATTCACAGGGCCCCCCACCTAACAAGAGACAATAAATGTAATTGTAGTTTCCTTCCTAGTACCTGAACACTTCCACAAATGTTAACCTTTGAAATAGTCCTAGAGGCAAAGAAAGTAGGGGAACTGTTGCATATCATATGTTGGAAAAGCTTATACTTTAAAAGTCCCCCCCCTCCAAAAAAAAAAACAACCTTTAACTGTGAGAATGTTTCATATGTTTGGGTAGCTTTTCCACCTACTAATGGTACAATCATACCAAGTTTTCTTAAAGTTCAACACAACTTTCTAAACCATGCACAAACTCAACATGAAGAAAATAAAAATCCTCACAACTGGACCAATAATTAACAGCATGATGAATGGGAAAGACTGAGGTCATAAAAAATTTCATTTTACTTGAGCCCACAATCAATACTTCCAGAAGCAAGAGTCAAGAGATCACAGGACATATTCCAGTAAGCCAATCTGTTGTAAAAGAGCTCTTTAAATTGTTAAGGAGCAAAGATATTGCACTGAGGACTAGAGGTGTGCCTGATTGACGCCATGGCATTTTCAATTGTCTTGTACGCATAGGAAAACAAAAATAATAAGGATGAATGAAGAAAAAGTGATGCCAGGAATTATGGTATTAAGTATAACATGCATTTCCAGAAAAATAAATAAATACACCACAGACTCCCAATGAGATGGACTAGCACAGTGGCTGCAATAATGGGCTCAAACGGAACAACTGTGAGGATGGCGCAGGGCAGTGTTTTGTTCTGTTTCACGTAGGGCTGCTATGAGTAGGAGCATACTCAATGGCACTGAGCAGCAAGAACAAGCTTGCTTTGCTTAAAATGCTTTTTAAATCATAACAGATGATAACCAGGGAGAAAAAAATAAAACTACATATAGATATATTTGCAAACATGCACAATATGAGATTTCAAAATATTTGTGGAAAAATTCCATCGTTTTTCTATTTCATTTTCCCATTAGCTTTTTGAAAGTCTTTCATACTGAGCCATGTTCTGAGTTTATTAGACCATTTCCATCTCCCTCTGAGCGAGGCAAGAAAACAGACAGGACAGACAAGACTTTAACCCTTTCCTCACCTTATCCTAGCTTGCTCACTAAACCTTGAAGGCAATTCTGACCCACTGGTCTCCTGGCCCAAAAATATCATCATTTGAAGTGTCTTTGCTGGGAAAGGAAGCATTTCTGAGAGGAACCTGCTCTCAGGGGCAGCTGCCTTCTTCTCCACTAGGATTGCCCTGCCCCTGTTTGAGTGCTAAGCCCCTTATACCAACTGGTCCCCCTTGGAGAGGGGTACTTTCATATTTTACATTATATATTCTTGCATTGTTTTAATTTTCAAAATAATTTATAAATGGAAAGCTATACATACACATCTAAGAACCATACGCTTTCGAGCCAACTTAAGAATTAATCTGATTGGGAAGCAGAAATATTAACAAAATATAGAATGACCAAAATAACCAGAGCTCTGATAAAAATATTGTCCATATTCCCACAGGTAACTCTTGAAGCTATACAATAGCACATGCTAAAAAGTCAACAGAAGCCCTGGTGGTGCAGTGGGGTAAGCACTGGGCTGCCAACTGCAAGGCCAGCATTTCAAAACCACCAGCTGCTTTGTAGGAGAAAGATGAGGTTTTCTATTTCTACAGAGAGTTATAGTCTCAGAAACCCACAGAGGCAGTTCTACCCTGTCCTATAGGGTCACTATGAGTCAGAATCAATTTCATGGCAGTGTGTGTTCTTTTGTTTTTTGTTTTGATGTTTAAAAAGTCAATGCTAAGTATAATCATGATATAAAAAGTAGAAATGTTTTTAAATTTTAAGGAACCCTATCCATACAGCCAAAAATAAATCTTACTTTAAAAAATAGTTTATTTTGTAGATTGATGTCACTTGCTAACTATTTTTACAAAGAATAAAACTCAACTTTATTACCAAACTACGTTTTATATTGTATTTTGTGTTCTACGGTGCCCAGGAATAAATAAGCTAGATACCCATCTTCAGCTACCTATATTATCAGACAAGGATCTAATAACCACGTTATATATAAAACCTTGGTAACAACAAAAAGACAAATAGCCCAATTATAAAATAGGCAAAGGACTTTAAGAGGCGCGGAAAAGACATTCAGATGGCCAGAAACCCCATTAAAAGATGTTCAGAAAGGTGGAAGTCAAAATCACTGTGAGACATCACTACACTCCTACTAGGTTAGCTAAGATTTATTTAAACAACAACAACAACAAAAACAGGAAAATTAGAACCGTTACCCATTACTCCTGGGAATGTAAATTGATACAACTGCTGTGGAAAACAATGTGAAAGTTCCTCAAAAAAACCTAAACATAGAATTCCCATTCAACTGAGCAATTCCCCTACTTATAGGACTTTTAAGACTCAGCAAAAGACTTGCGAAATCACATTCATTACAGCACTGTGTGCAATCCTCACAAGGTGGAAACAAGCTGTCCATCAGCAGCGAATGGCTAAACAAAATGTGGTACATATAAACAATGGAATACTGCTCAGACAGCAGGAGAAACCAAGTCTTGATACATGCTACAGTATGGATGAAGACTTGTGCTGAGTGAATTTAGCCAATTAAAGGACAAATGACCTCACTTTAATAAAAAAAAAAAGGGCAAATGAACAAAGAGCAAAACTTATTAGTGGTAGCCAGAGAAGAGAGAGGGAAAAGGAAGCTTAATGGCCAGTTGTTATAATTGTTGTTAATAAATTGTATATTGTAAAGAGTTGAATTGGCAAAACCACCAGCAAAAATGAATCATCACCAGCAAAAATGAATCACCACTGCCAAAAATGAGTAGCTGCTTATGTACAACCAAATACTTTATAAGGTTGGTTTGTTGGTGTGGAGGCTTAGGGTCAGGCTTTCATAAAACATCTCAGTTAAATGACCGAATGTGTTTATTGCTCCTTTTCTAACTCCTAGTCCAAAGTGCCTGGGGTCTTAAAGGCTTGCAAGTATCTAATGCACAATTGGTTTTTATTCACCTGGAACAAAAGAGGAGAGCCAGGAATCAGAGGAGCATAATGGAAAATGTGTGGATGAATGCTCCCCATAAAAAACTGTTTCCTTTGCTCTGAAACCAGGAGAATTGGATGGTGCCCAGCTACCATTAAGTGAATATTGTGATCAATTAGTTCACGGAAGAATCTTGAAATCTAACAGTAATTTAGCTCGTCTAGTTAAAAAAAAGATCCGCCTTGAGCATTATGCTCTTTTAGGAACTCTGTATGGGATCAAATTAGCAATAACAACTCAAAAGGTGAGATAGGAACCACAGGGGGCAGTGGGTTGAGCGAGGAACAACTCACAAACAGAGTGTGAGAATGGTCGCACAACTTGTAATATGTATGTCTTTAATTGTACATGTAGGAACTGTTGAACTGGTTATGTTTTGCTATGGATCAATAACAACAATATAAATAAAATTTAGAGGCTAGGCATGTGGCTAACAGTCACTGAAAGAATTTTAATCTAAAGCACTAAATGGATGGCGGGGGATTGATGATATAAAATAATGGGTATAAATGTCTTGCAATCCTTTATTTTTTTTAAAGTTCATTTTATTGGGGGCTCTTACAGTTCTTATAGCAATTGTGATTGGTAGGTTTATTGTGCCAACCTGGCCAATGAACACATGTAGGATTAATTGAAGGGTGGAGAGATAAATGGCTCAAGCGAGGCTTACCTTTCTGGTCTCTTGCTCTTTGATGATTGGACCAGTGTGTAGCTGCCTTAGCTGGTTCTCTGCTTCAATTTGT